ATTCCAAGGCAAAGATAATATTCCTTTAACTTCCAATTACCGAGGGAACCAATTAATATTGATTTTATTCAACTTATCGAGTATTTTTCAAGGGACCGGGAAAAAATGTCCACTTTATCGAGAGATTCAAATTTTAGAGTTTCAAATTATAAAAATATATCTATTATTTTTTAAAATAAGTTTATAGAGAATTGTTTTAACAAATATTCGTTAGGAAAACTTTCGCTTGAGAAACACCCGGGCGAAGCCGGGTACGTCCGCTAGTTTTGAATAAACAAACCTCAACGCCACAAAGCGTCAATAAATTCCAGTTTAAAATAGTTTTCTTCACAAATATACAATAAGATTTTTTCAGAAGAGTAAATTGCTATAAAGCATAAAATAATAAAATAAACCGTAGCAATGGCACTTTGCACGAATAAAGAAACGTATTGCAACGGTTTATTTTCTTATTTCATACAATAAGTGTAAATTTCTGCATGAAAATTATTATTATATATTGATAAATCTTGTTATATATATAATAATAATATAAATAAATTTCTGATGTGGGGTGTGAATATTAAAGGAGGATAATAATGAAGTGTGTCTGTCTGTCTTATATTTTGTACGATTTATGGAACTTATACAATTACATGTTTATAAAATAAAATGTATTTAATTTCTAAATTAATATATATATATATATATATATATATATATATATATATATATATATATAAAGGACAACGGTCACCTCTCCCGTCAAAATAAACGTCAAAGCTAGACACCATCTATTGACCGTCGCCGCAAACTAGCGCCGTCGGGTCGGTGACAAAGCTACAACACCAGCTTTGGCAAACTGAAAAGCGTCAGGCTTTGTCACTGACCCGAAAACCGCTAGTTTGCGGCGACGGTCAATAGATGGCGTCTAGTTTTGACGGGAGAGGCGACCTTTGTCTTTTCAGATCAATATCTTCTCGCTAAAATTTCCATATATATATATATATATATTTTTTTTTTAAATAGAGCAATCCATAAATAAATCTTTAAATAATAAGTCATATATTGGATCAAAATATCATTTATTTTATCAATATTGGTAAAAAATAATCCAATATTTACATTCAACTTGTCTCGGGAGAAAGCCTCTCTAGACAAGTTTCTATATAAATCCATACACTCTCAGCTGCAATGATAGATTAAAATAAAGTTATCAGACTTGAATGATGTAATAAAGACCTCTAAAAGTTTATTAATTAAATCTTCTACATAATTTATATTTTAATTAACTATTTATTCTCCCTAATCCATGATTGGGTTTAGAGAATAGAATTTGTGTTTTTATCTGAATCTATAAAAATCCAATTTAAAGTAAATATAACCCGATGTCTCGAAGGGAAGGTCCATCTTTAATTCAAAAGCCTCTTGTTTGGTTTCGCGAGAGTTCCGACAACATCTAGTATTTTAGTATGGACCAACTGTGTTCTTCTTTTGTTATTGTGTTAGCAGTTCCCTTCTCTATGTGCTTGTCGCTTATAAACACATTTAGTTCATTATTATTATTTCAATTTGTTGGGCAAAAAAAGAAGAAGGCCGACAAATTTATTTCTGAAGAAAGAAGAACTTTAATTAGTTATGTTCAAATTTACATAAACTTGAAGCAGCTTACTTTAAAATAACAAAAATAACAAACTTACTGACCTAACCTCACTCTCTATTTAGCTTTTTCTAACTCACTTCTCACTGTCTCCTTTTGAACAAGCCACAATGTTGTTGTTGTTGTCGTGTTCAATGTTCTTCATTGGAAAATGGGTGCCGTTGCCACGTTATTCACCTTGAAAATAAACCAGAATATGGTAAAATATTCCAAGGGTCCAGGGGGGACCGCAGGGAGGTGTGGTCGGACTTCTCCTCCCCCCACAAGCCACAATCATTATTATATATATACAGCGGTCAATTGGTCAAAAATAAAAGAAGAGTAAAATGTTGAAATTGATTATTCCAACACAATTTAAAGCGTTATGTCCCCCTCTCTCTAGGGAAACTTGCACTGTCATACATGTATGTCTTTACATTTGTCTATACATTTAGGCCGTGAATAGAATAGTCATATGATGTTAGCATTGAGAAAGAGAGAAGAAAAAGAACGGTGTATAAAAGAAAGAAGTGTTTGGCAATCACATTATTTCATTATATATAAACGACGTACCTCTCTAGATCTGGGAAACAAAATAATATTTAAAACTATTCGAGAGATTTCTCCTTCTTTTTCATTTTATTGCACAAATTTGTGTTGATAAAGAAAGAGCAATTCCTCCAAAAATGTTGATTTTGTTTCCTCACAGAACCCGGTATGTCTTTTTTATATAATTAAATTTAATGAATAGCCTTTTAATTAAAAAAATTCATTTAAAAAGGACATTTTTAAATTCTGAAAAGTAAAGTCGTATGTTCTTTGATAATAACTTAATCAGTTCTTAGAAAATGATAACAAACTAAGGTGTGGTGTAAAGGTCGATTTACCCTTTTGTATTTCACAATTTTTCTAAGATTCTTTCTTGTTAAAAAAAAAGATAAATTAGGAAGTAGAATATATTTTCTCTTTAATCAATATTTGACTTGAATACTTTTTCCCCATATTATATTTGATATATGTTTATATTTTCAAAACATGCGTCGGACATGACGGCTGTTGGGTTCTGTGCTGCCTGGAGTATAGGAGCTCCATCTATGTTTTTTTCCTATTGTGAATCTGTATAAGACCGGTGGTATTAATTATCTGTATGTGTGTATATATTTTAAAAGATAATTAAACAATAATAAACTTTAATTCATTAGGCCTTTGTCCACCTTTTTAATGTTTAACACACATAAGAAACTCGGACTCCTAGAGCTATTTTCAATGTTTGAAACAAATTTCACTGATTATTTTAAAATGTGATACAACATTAATATAATGTAATGATAATTTTCTAATTTGATTGATTAAGAAAGATGTATGCTATACATTCTACACCCTCTCCCCTCGTTTATATATTTTTTTGGTTAATTAAAATTGTATCAGATCGATAAAAGTTGAAAACACTTTATAAATTAAATTTCAAGTAGAGGCAATTATTATAATTGGAAACTGACGCGTCACTGTATGGTAATTTTGTATAATGTGATTAGATAATTTGTGTTTGTTATTAAATTTTTAAATTATGAAAAAATAATTCCTACAAAATTGTGTATCATAGAATTTTAAAAACTATCGGATTGGTGCCGTTCTAGAAATGTATTTAGAAATACAGTCCAAACACATTTAAGTCTTATTAAAGTCGCGAGGTGGTTTTGTTCTCTCGATAATACGTATATAAACTAATGGAATAAAGGATCAGCCAATTTTCTCAAAATTATATATTAACAGCTGGAAAAATAAACTAAAAAGCCAAATTATCTTCATACTAAATTAATCGACTTTTAAAAAGGCAAGTAAAAAGAATTTGTTATTTACAAATAAACTTTTTATACTATTTATATATAAATAGTAAATGAAGCGAAGATGCATTACTATCACCCAAGTTTTGAAAAAGGTTTGTATTATGATTGAATGAATTTCTCAGTTTCCTTAAGGCTATTGATAAATCACATGCCGTTCCTAATGCATACACGGCCGTGACAAATTACCTCCGGAATATCAACGGATAAAATATAGGGTCAGAAACTTTGCAAAGGATATCTCTGCACACACACTATTTCAAATGGGAATCTCATTTCTGAAAAGTATATATGTAGAGAATTTATTTATTTATATAATTTATCATGAATATATATATATTTTTTTAATTGCACAATATTTGCAAAATAAAATGGTAAGTATATATATTTTTGTTGTGAGTTTTTAATCATTCTGCGGTATTGTAAAATTGATTTACTTTTCAATTTTTTTTTTGTTTCAATGCAGAAGAGGATATCCATACGGGCAAGACACTTCGGTTGGCCGGTTTTGTGATCAGGTTGCATGGACCGATCTGATCTGCTTCATGGACAAGACACCACCACCACCTCAGTTGGCCGGTTTTGTGATCAGGTTGCATGGACCGATCTGATCTGCTCCATGGACAAGATACTACCACCATCAAATACTACACTCGAAATTTGGATCTTCACCAACCTCCTCGCCAACTTCTGACCAAGTCCTTCTTGGTAGTTCCTCTTTCTTATACTTAATTAATATTTTATCATTGCAAGCATCCTTTCTTACTTTCATTAATTTTTTTGCGCATTTTTAATTGTCTCATATTAAGTATCCCAGATAAGTTTGTATATGCTCCCTTCTACATTGGAATTACTTAGAGCTATGCTCAAAACTGGGCAACTCTGTGCTTCACTCCCATAAATAATTGACAATATGAGCCAGAATAAGTATATTGCTACGGCGTTTTATGGTTTCCACAAGTCCATATCTCAGAAGAAGGCCAAGTGACACTCACTCCTCACTTTCTTACTGCTACTCTTTTTGTGTTGTTTTTCTTGCTTCCCTCTTTCTCTTTCTTGTTTTTTTTTTTTTTTTTTTTTTTTCTTCTGTCTATATCGTTGTTTCCTTTGTCTTACTGCTTTGTTCTTATGCATACCTCTGGTGAATCCTGTATAGGGTCAGTGACCCTAAATAAAGGCTTTTTGTTGTGTTGTTGTTTGTACTTAGAGCTATGTTGACAAAACTATCGCGTCCAAATGTCTGAATGACGATGTGGGGAATTGATTCTCGATTTGGCCGATATTATCTGAACCAATGCCATTCAGCGCCGTGTTTCTAAAATGCCACTCTACTTAATTTTTATTAGACATCTGAGTTATATTTTAATCCATTTCAACAGAAACATGAACCTTTAAAAAAAAATTAAATATCACATTTTTTTTTAAATTGTAGGATTTTAAGATATGTTTTTGTTATGATGATAATAAAATATTGTTCCACAATTGTGAAAAAAATTAATCAAAATCTTCCAATTCATAAATTTTAGAGATAAAATTATGTTTTAATGGTGAAGTCAGATATCTTCACCTGGCTCTTACCCAGGAGGCCCAGGTTCGATTCCCGGCGTGGGAACTTTTTATACTCTCTACGGATCACCACCCTGCCCCTCTGATCCTCATCTACATCCCGGCTCTCCTGGCCTCACCCGTCAATGATCCACTGGTCACCCATCTTCAGGCCCCTCCAACAGTACAAGGTATATAGTGCTTTGTACATATTCCGTTTTATGCGTCCATTGGGGCTCAAAAATCATCCATTATGGTTAGCAGCCCCGTAAATAAAGATATTTCCAGTCAGATATTTATATACACAAACATTCATCATAGCCAGAGAGGATCTTTATTGTCGTTCTTTCAAACTCTACCGTGTAGCCCAGCATGCGATGTTGCAGTGAAAGGCGGCTGATGGAAGGCGAATGTCGATGTAATCCTGAGAGGTCAGTCACCCCAAAGTAATTTGTTGGATTGGGCAAATCGACCTCCATTACGGACAACCATTATTTGGAGCTTTGATTCATTAAGCGCTCAATATATTATGGATTTATAATGCAAGTTTTGTGTGTCTCTGTGAAGCTTGTCTAAATTCAAAGCAATTTTTTTTACACCAGCTCTAAAATGTCTCTGAGGAAAATTTCTCTGAATTTAGACAAAATTCACAGGGACACGCATATCACCTTCCCGTGGATTCCATACCACATAGGACTGAAGGGCAACGACACAGCAGATGCGATTGAAGATTTAGCAGCAATGCCTAACTCGGACCTTGATTTCGACTCTTTCAAATGCATAAAAAAAAAAGAAACATCCAAGAAAAAATGCAGGAGTCAACATTCCATCATTGGTATCTAAACCATAATCCTAGAGGTATTCTGGAATATGGGATGAACCAACCTGTATTCCCAGGCTCAAAACTAGTCATACAAGATCGCTCCTCTTCCAGGATGGTGCAAAGACATTTCCACAATACACCATCTGCACGACCAAAGAGGCCTCATCAGACCACCTCTTGGAATGCTTGGGAGCTTCAAGACAGGACCTATATTCCAAATTCCTCCCCCCCCTCTATCTCTCACTATACTGATATTATATACACTGCTGGCCAACCAAATTGCAACACCAAGAAAGACAAGAGATATCACAACAAAAATTATTTTGTAGATAACATGTTGACCAAGTATCAAATGATTAAATTTATAGACTTCTGCGAAGTGTCGTTCCTGCCAGAATCAGTAGCCAGAGTAGCCGACATTGTTGGAAATCACCGCTGCGACACGCCTCGGCATTGATTCAAAGAGACTTTGAATGTGTTCCTGGGGTACAGCAGACCAAGCAGCTTCCGCACGTTACCAAAGTTGATCTGGTGTGGCAGCTGGGTATGTAATCTGGGTTAATCGTTGAGTAACCATGCACCATATGTTTTCTATCGGCGAAAGATCTGGAGAGCGAGCCGGCCAGGGAAGCCTTTCAATCTGGTGATTGACGAAGAACCTTTGGAAATTGCGTGCCACGTGTGGTCGCCTGTATGGTCCTGTTGAAATATGGCTGTGGGAAAGTCCTGAAGGTAAGGAAGGACAACTGGATCCAACACCTCGGAGATGTAGCGTCGGCTGTTTAAAGTACCGGCAATGCGTACTAGAGGAGTGCGGGAGTGATATCCAATACCGCCCCATACCATAATACCCGGTGGAGGACCGGTGTGGCGGTGCATAACGCAGCTATCCAGCATCTTCTCTCCACGGTGTCTCTCGACTCGAATCCGATCATTGTGGTGTTGCAGAGAGAAGCGTGACTCGTCAGTAAAAACAATATAATTCCATTCTGCCGTCCACATCCTTCTTTCATCGCACCATTGGCGGCGGAGACGTCTGTGGTTCTGCGTCAAGGGTAGACGAAGCAATGGATGTCTTGCGGACTGAACTCTCTGCTGTAAACGGCGTCGAATGGTACGCGCAGACACTGGATGATGCGTTACAGACTGAATGTGCTGTGCTACGGTTCGTGATGTGACTGAGCGATCTGTCACTGCCATGTGCACAATTTGCCTGTCAGCACGTGAAGTGGTGCACTGAGGTGGATGCGATCGAGCACGTCTGTCCGTCATACCTTCCTGCATACAACGATCACATATCCGCATTACAGTTGTCTGGTTTCGTCCAACACGGCTACCGATTTCCCTGAAAGATAATCCACAATCTCGGTAGGCCACTATCCTTCCTCTGTCGAATATGGATACTTGATCAAAATATGATCGCTGTTTTCTACGAGGCATAATTGATCGTTAAAAAATAAATAAATAAACAATTGCCGAACTTGAAATCGTCGAAATCTCCAAGCCATAAATAGTGATTTGAAGTGGAGCCACAGGCGCGCGTGATGTGCGTCTGCGCTGAAATTCTAATCATTTGCATATTCACCTCTGCTGATGCATGTTGTAAATTTAATGTTATTCTCATGCTTCTTTCATGGTGTTGCATTTACGGTGGCCAGCAGTTTATTTAATCCATGAAGCTTGATTATAAAGTTGATTATAAAGGAAGGTTCGTCTTCTCCGCTATTATCGAAGTCGTTAAGGACATTCAGGACGCTTTGGTCGCGTCACTTTTAACTTCATGTCTCTCAGGCTCGCTATGGCGCAGCGCGTCTTCCCATGTGGTGTCTGTGGTAGCCTGTCTCTTAGGACGCACACCAATGGTAAGAAGTATACCAAAGTGATCAAGTTCGCTAACTGTACACATCTTACCGCCACCTGTGAGAACAAGAATGTGCTTATATGTCACAGGTGCAGTGACAAGCACAACGCCAAATCCATGATGTGTAAGCACCAGCGAGATGCCCAGGACTAGTTCAAGTAATGAATGTTTTCGAAGGCTTACAACCAATTTAAGACGTTCACAGCCTTGTTTGTATTCTGTGTTGAATGATAGCCGTGAGGAGAACATAGATTTGCTATTTTTACAAGAGCTCTCAGCTGCTCGCGGCGACATCCCGTCGCTGCCAATTTTATGGTCCCACTGTGGACTCCACCAGCTGGGTACTATGGTCATCATCGTAAATCTAACCTAAAATTTGTTCACTTGGCCTATTTGTTATATGTGAATGCTGTGATGGTTATTGTGGTTCCATGGTGTAATGGTTAGCACTCTGGACTCTGAATCCAGCGATCCGAGTTCAAATCTCGGTGGAACCTTTTTTTTAACGTTCTGACTTCCCTTCAGCCATACACGTCGTGTTTGTCATGTGTGAACTGAATGGAAGGTCTGTTCTTCTTTGCAATGTTTATATTTCGCGATCACGTAACGTTTCCTAAATGAAATAAATTATATTCTATACGTTTTCTCTCTTATCGAGGTGATTTTATGCGAAGACTTAAATTTTGAATATTTTAGTTGGTAAGGTAAATCGTAGATACTCTGGTATCGCTCAGCAAAGAGAAATCTTGTTGAAAATATCATTGATTCCAACTGTCTGCACGTGGTCATCACGCACGGCGCGGTGACGTGGGAAGAAGGTAATCGTTCTTCTTCCGTTGATGTTACTGGCCGATTTTCTGTTGGTCTTGTGTGGATGGTGCTTGCGATTGGCATCCTGAGGATCAAGAGTTATCTGGTCACAAACGTCTTGTCTTTAGCTTAAATTTCGCTCCTTCTTCTCAATACAATACCGGATTTAACCTAATTCGAACTAAACTTCAGCTTTATCAAGCTGGCTGGGATAAAGTATTTGAAGATTTTAGCCGAAAATGGATCGCTAATTTTTTTTTAACACCAGTTCCCAGTAACTGCCTGTAGGAACATTCTGATTAATGTGATGACGTGCATTTTAAATTTACTTGGACTGCTCTGCGTATGTAATCGTCCATGTCACTGTCTTTATAAACCCCACTACAGAGGGCAAATGGTTTGGGGATTCGACGGTGAGTGCTGGTTAGGGAATAAATTTGCACTGCGGCCCATATGGACGCGTTATGCGCTATCTGATGTACAAAAATGTTTGGTTTTCTCAATCTTAATATATACAATTATTTTTTAAAACTTAAACATCCTCTAACAGATTTTTTAAAATTTCATATAACCTTTCATTAAAACAAAACAAAACAAAAAAAAAATACTCTTATCGGGCAACTATCTGGTATGTTGGTAAGTTGGCAACTTTCAGTTGCCCGATAAGGAGATGTAATTTTTTTAAAAATTTATGAACCTTATCCCAGTACAATATCACATTCGTACTATTTTTTCACTGTCTATATATGTTTTAATCATCCCAGCATCAGTTGACATATGTTTGCCATTTTATTTACATACCTATCTCTCTCTTTTATCTTCCTCCCTTTTTATCATCCCCTTATCTTCCCCGGCCTAAAGAATCTCACCTTGCTTTACAATCTTGGTGGCGCACAGTAACATGGTGTATTGCAACAATGCATTGAGGTCTGTCTGCTTGCCATTGAAAGACTCAAAAAATCAAGCCAGTTGGTTAGTTGCCTAGAGAATATCAAGAAGGCTATTCATATGCTTTGAGTGAGAAGACACTGCTAAGTCTTTGCCTAAGCATTATTGAGAAAGGTGAAAGGAATTCAAATATATTGTGAAAAACAACTATGAGGACCATTCATAGGTCTCCGTATCATATCCACATTTTAGATAGTTAATTCTATGCCTTAAACATTTTGATATAATATGTCGTATGGAATTCATTTAGCGGTGGTAAGTAATAATCAATATTCATGAGATTTTATTTTCTGACAACACAACATGTTGTAAAGAAACTCCCACCTAAGGGTACGTTTCCAATTGAGCTGTAGTTCTCCCCAAGAGATGTTGTTCTCACACAAGAGACAAGCACATCCTCTTTTTTTTTTAATCTACACTCAATTAACTCCGCCTTTTCCGGTCCCAAGCCCGGATGAAAAAGGAGGAGGGGGAGCAGTAACAAGCTCACTAAAAAACCTGGGCCCGGCTGATAGTATCCTGTAAGGGCTCTTGATCCAGGGATACAGGATGAGCAGCGTTTGTACTCCATATTAGGAGCGGCTGCACATGGCGTCTGTACCTCATGTCAGAGGCGGCCATTTCTTT